GGGATCTGGAAACTGGAAACATGATTCTGATGTCTAGGAAAGCCTGTGTCTGAGAGCTCAGAGCTTCAGGAGTGCTAGAACCGCAGTGCGGAGCTGTTTAAGTACAATATTCAACGTGAGAACCAAAATATGTTGTGGCTGGGGCCAATATTTTTGTTAATGAAATGTTGAATGTCTCCTTACAGTCTGATCGAAATTCTCAGTGTACTAAGCCAGGCCTAAGCCATTTTACAGCTATTGGCCTAACTGTAACTTTTTTTTTTTCAAAATGTTTTATTATAATACTTGTCATTTCTTTTACTTAATATATGTCAATTGTCATAATAAAAAGTTTAAATAAGTTGATGTACTTAGCATTGTGTTTGAAACATAGTTTATGTTAAATTTTGTGGCATTCTAGGAAGCTCAGACTTTTCAATAACTGGCTCATAAAGGGTTAAGATGGCCCGTGTTCCCCAGGAATAGACTAGTATCTGTGATCTAGAAAGCAAATCTGAAGCTAGATCAACTCTCAAAACAGTTTTTCGGCTGTTCTTCAGCTAGGTATACAAAGGGACAGCACCACCCACGGTTTCTGTCACTTAGCCTCTGGAGCGTTGACAGACACATCCCAGAGGCCAGGGCTTTGTTCTGCCATCCTTGGGAATGCAGCTACCCTAGAAGTCAGCAGCTCAGGGCAAAGGATTCTGGTTCCTTTCCCGGCTGGGGTGCAGGTTGTGTGTGTGTCTCATCTAAATTCTGATGTTTTTCTTCTCTTAAAATACCTGAAGTTTTGTTTTAGCCAGCAAACTAGCAGAATTTATCAGTACTCAAAATTCTGACCCTAGGGCTGGAGAGATGATGGCTCAGAGGTTAAGAGCATTGCCTGCTCTTCCAAAGGTCCCGAGTTCAATTCCCAGCAACAACATGGTGGCTCACAACCATCTGTAATGAGGTCTGGTGCCCTCTTCTAGCATACAAACATACATGGAAGGAATGTTGTATACATAATAAATAAATATTAAAAAAATAAAATATTTTAAAAAAATCTGACCCTAAACTACGGATTAAAATTGAGGTAAAAATGCGAATCAGGGTTTCACTTACTGGAAAGAACGCTGGTGATGGAAAGAAAATGGTCAGCTATATTTACACTTTGAGAGTTTTAAACAAATCAGCTAAGAAGTGGCCCGAACGGTTCTGTTTTGTTGTTTTAATGTTTTTATTTTATGTGTGTGGGTGCTTTGTCTGCATGTATGTCCGTGTACCATGTGCCTTCACGGTGCCTTTGGAGGTCAGAAGAGGGCATTAGGTCCCCTACACTGAACAGTTGTGAACCACCACGGAGGTGCTGGGAATTGAACCTGGCTCCTCTGGAAGAGCAGCCAGTGCTCTAACTGCTGAGCCGTCTCTCCCAACGACAGCCCCAACAATTCAGAGTCTTAGCTGAGCATTGGGCTAGAACATAGCTGTTAACTGTTATCTTAGATTAAGAGACCAGAGGAGGGGGGTGGAGAGATGGCTCAGTGGTTAAGAGCATTGCCTGCTCTTCCAAAGGTCCTGAGTTCAATTCCCAGCAACCACGTGGTGGCTCACAACCAGCTGGAATGAGGTCTGGTGCCCTCTTCTGGCCTGCAGACATACACACATTGTATACTAAATAAATAAATTAAAAAAAAGAGACCAGAGGATGGTTTCCTTTTTTCCTTATTTTTTGATTCTTTCCGTTTTTTCGAGACAAGGTTTCTCTGTGTAGCTTTGATGCCTGTTCTGGAACTTGGTCTGTAGACCAGGCTGGCCTAGAACTCACAGAGAAACGCCTGCCTCTGCCTCCGGAGTGTTGGGATTAAAGGTGTGCGCCACCACCGCCTGGCGAGGATGGTTTCTTTTCGAAACTAAGATTTTATTCACTAAATGGCGATCCTTTAGTAGAAGTGGGATTATAATAAAATGATTTTAATGAAATTAAGTGTTTCCTGTTAGGACCCTTATGCACCCATAAATGCTTATGTAATTTTGATTCTTTGATTCCTGAAGGTCTAATTGACAATCAAAGAGAAAAAAACACTAAAGGATGTGACCTATGCACACAACACTAGTGCCTATGGTCATATCCCACGGGAGAAGCTGGCTAGACCCTACAGTACATGGTCACAGTATAGGCCACCCCGTTTCGTCCACTGGACCAGAGTCTCCATCTTCCTTTGTAGCCTGTCTCCATGAAGACTTTGCAGCAGCCCCTGTCTGTGTGTCCCTTTACCTGGTATCTTTCCTATTGCCTTTGGGTCTTCCACGTCTCCCTCTGTCTCTGATTCCAACTCTTCTGAGTATTCCTATGCAGTATTCTTCAAGGTTGAAAATGGGTGTGTTGCCATTTAATGTCTTCTAATGCTTTTGCTTGATTTTCAGTGTTTAAACTGTATTTAGAAGTTCTTACAAAAGTAAAACTAGTTTCTGAGAGAAATTCCAAGAAACCCATAGGCTTTGTGGAGACAAGTGAGTTCCATCGTCAGAAACAACTGTTAGATACGGCCGACAGAAAACAACTTGTTCCCCTCCTCTCCAAACAAAACATTTTATTCTACTTGATGATAAAACTTCATTAGGACATATGACTGGAATCTAACAGTAATTCTTACCTTGTAACAATGGGTTTGTAAACCTAATTCTCTTGCCAAGAGGCAGGACCTTATATAACCCTGTCATCCGTATAGGCTTGTCAGTTGTTTTCAGGTGAGGTTTACATTAAAATACTGGAGTCTGCGCCAGGTGGTGGTGGCTCACACCTTTAATCCCAGCACTTGGGAGGATAGGCTCCAAAGTGACAGAGAAACCCTGTCTTGAAAAACAAAAACAACAACAAAATCCTGGAGTCTGAATAAAAGAACAGGAATAATTACCAGGTCATAGTGGTTCTGCATCAGCAGCACTCAGGGGACCACAAGGTGAAGGCTAGCCTGGGCTACACAGTACAGGAGGAGCAAAATCTACAAGCCTTCCGATTTCAGTAGGTGATGCCGATCTGTTTGACACCTCTGATGAAACACCTCCTCTGCCTGGCGCTACAGCGAGCGCTTGCAGGGTCCCCTGTGGGGCTGAGGTCCCTCTCTTCCGTCATCCTGAATGAAACGTTTTGCCATTGGGCGATCACTATGTAAAAATGAGTAAGGCAAGTTGACAAGAAATCACTATAGTGGCTTTAGCCACTTCTGTCATACAGGGGGATTCCATTTCTGAGCAAAGCATTGGTTTCATCAATAAATGTCTTAGGGAAAGTCTCAAATTAATTGTTTCTCAAATTAGATTCATATGGTTTTTCTTTTCTTCCAGGATTGGGGCTTGAATGCTAGGCTAGTGCTCTGCCTGAATTCTGCTACCCTTGGAACCTATCCTGAAAACATCTTTCTGAATTCTCCGACTTCGAGATATAAGCCTACACCTACTCAACTTTTGAGATTGGAAATTTAGAAATGATACTTCATCTCTCTTCTTGGGTGCATCTTCTATTTATTTATTTGTTTGTTTGTTTGTTTATTATGTATACAATATTCTGTGTGCATGACTGCTGGCCAGAAGAGGGCACCAGACCTCTTTACAGATGGTTGTGAGCCACCATGTGGTTGCCGGGAATTGAACTCAGGACCTTTGGAAGAGCAGTCAATAATGCTCTTAACCACTGAGCCATCTCTCCAGCCCCCGGGTGCATCTTCACAAACCCTTTCTCTCAATCTATATCCAAAGGATGAGGGTTGTAACCTTCAGAGAGCGCTGGACTCCCATCCCCACCGTTACAGCCATGTTCTCACCTAAACCAGGGCAACACCTTGTTCATGTCCGGTGGTGTCTCTCTCCTTGCCTCACCACCAACAAACCAACCAAATTTAGAGATAAGTCAGCCTGCGAGAGTGTCCCACACGGGGGTTCACAGCACCCCTGCAGAGTGGCCACAACTGCCTGGAACTGGAACTCCAGGAGATCCAATGCCCTCTTCTGGGTTCTGTGGGCGTCTGCACTCACACATACTTGTGTTAAAAGATAAGAATAAATCTTAAAAAAAAAAAAAAAATCTCGCAAACTAAAGACTCTCCCGTTAAGAAGATACCAAAAAGAAAAAATAGGAAAAATACCACAAAACTTATCACATCCTACATGCTATGTCCTCCAACCTAAACAGCCCTAACCCCATAGCTATTATGTAATGGTCAAAACAAGTGGAGTTTAGAGGTTGGCTGACGACTGAATTCCATCCGTCTTCTCGGTCTCTTCTTACCAAACTCTAGCTTGTGAGTTTAATGCCTCAGGTCTCATGTGTCAAACGGGGACAGTAATAGAAAACTTGTTCATATCATAGAGAAAAAACTGAGTTGAGCAGGTGCGGCGATCCTTTGCCTGTTATGTGTCTATCGGAGATCACCCTGGGCAGCATAGGGAAGCCCTTTCTCAAAAAACAACACACAAAAAGAAGAGATAAAAGTGCTTAGCCGTGCGGTACACAGGGCTGAGTCGCTGAGCCCGTCAGGCTCCACCGCTCACTCTTTGGGGACCCTAGCGCCCCGGAACCCAGAGTTGCAGATGGAAGGCTACCTTCCCCTTCAGCGCTGTCTTTTGACAGTCATGGTAACCTCTTTGTGCTCCTGGGGCCGTGCGGGGACCGAGACGGAGGTCTGGGGCTTGGCGGTGCAACCCGAGGAGGCGAGAGCCGGGAGACCCGTGCACCCGGCCTGCGGACCTCCGGGCGGGCGTGGGTCCCAGCTCCCGGGCGTCCTCCTCGGCCCCGTGCCCGCTCTCAGGCCTCGCCGCGATGACCTGGAGATGGAACCACGGCGACGACGACACTCGCTCCGTCCAAACCTCTGAGGAGCCGGAATGGGGGGGGGGGGGGGGGGGGGGGGGGGGGGGGGGGGGGGGGGAGACGGGGGATCCGTACCACGTGACAAAAGCCAGCCAGGTCGCGGCGGACCTCCCCGGCGCCTAGACCGGCCCGTCTCTATGGTCACCGGCGCGGAGGAGGTTGTCCTTCCCGGGGACGACTACTGCTTCCGGTCCAGCTCCCGCGCGCTGGGCTCGCGCTCCGGGCTCGCGGGCTTCGGCTTCTTCGGGTTGTGCGGCGCCGCGCTCCCACCCGCCCCGCCATGAGCTTCCTCAAGAGCTTCCCGCCGCCCGCGTCGGAGGACGGGCTCCGGCTGCAGCAGCCCGACACCGAGGCGGTGATGAACGGGAAGGGGCTGGGCACCGGCACGCTCTACATCGCCGAGAGGTAGGGTCCCCCGGGCCGCGGCGCCGGCCTCGCTCCTCCTCGGGGCCGCTGCGGGCAGCGCCGGGCGACGCCGCCGGGGTGGAGGCGGCGAGGGAGGCCCGGCTGCCAGCCCCGCTGCCGTCCGTGTACCGGCCTGTGTGCCGGAGCCCGGCGCGTGCTCACCGCTGGAGTTTGCAGTTTGCAGAGCCTCCGTTAGCCTCCCGACTGTCTCGCGAGCTGGGGGTTCTTCCCGCGTAAGGTCTGTGGGTTCGGAGTGATCGCGTAGGGCGTAGGACGTTTGGTTAATGAGCATTGGGTTTTTTTTTTTCCTGCTGTAGATGTGGGTGGGGGAAAAGAAGCATCTTCAGGCCCACGCAGGGCGGGGTCATAACCTGCCGAACCCGACTCTGGGTGAGCGGGTCCTGGAAGGAATCCTACTTTGGTGTGACTACCTGCAGCGCGTTGTACTTTGACTTTTGACATGTCACTTAAATAAACACGTGTACACACTTACACACACACACACTCCCTCTCCTCACCCCCCCCCACCCCACCCCCTTTCCTGTCCTCCAGACCTTCAGAGTGTCAGGTTTACCTTTTTGCTATATTCCGGTTGTCGTCCACGGAGGACAGCCTCTGCTTTTAAGAGCTCGTCTTATAACTTTGGACCTGACCAGAAAATCCAGGCTAGGCGCCTTATTTCTGTCAGTCTATTAGTAACATAGGAGAGAGAAAGAGAGAGAGAGAGAGAGAGAGAGAGAGAGAGAGAGAGAGAGAGAGAGAGAGAGAGAGAGAGAGAGAGAGAGAGAGAGAGAGAGAGAGAGAGAGAGAGAGAGAGAGAAGGGGGATTTATTAGGATGACTTACAGGGTGTGATCCAGCTCTTCTGACAGTGGCTGGCAACGAATGGAACGTCCAAGAACCCAGAAGTTGCTCAGTACTCTCAGCTGGTCTTCAGTAGATGCTGGAATGATCTGTGTTCGTCTTCCTGCCCCAAGTTCCCGATTAGAAGCGGATCTTCCTACTTCAAATTAAGAAAAAAAAACCCTCTCTCACTGGTGTGCCCTCCTCCATTTGGGGGATTCAGTTAATTCCAGGTGAAGTCAAGTTGACAACCAAGAATAGCCATCACACTATGTAAAGGGGGTTTTGTTTATTTATTTTTGTTTTTTTGAGACAAGATTTCTGTGTAGACCTGGCTGACCCTAAACTCACAGAGATCCTCCTGCTTCTGCCTCCTAAATGCTAGGACTAAAGGGTGTTCCCTCACTACACCTGATGATCTTTCTATAATTCCTTGGCGGGGGGAGGGGCTTGTATATGATTCTGCATATTGGAAAGCTTAACGCTTACTGAAAAGGCACAAGTGTTGTTAATACGTGTATGTCTTATAAAGATCCCTGAGGGCTGGAGAGATGGCTCAGGGTTTAGGAGCATTTGTTGCTCTTGCAGGGGACTCTGGTTCCCAGCACCCACACGGTGGCTCACAATGTTCCCTAACTCCTGTTCCAGGACATCTGCCACCCTCTTCTGACCTCTGGGCAGCAGGGACACACATGGTGCGCATACGTGCAGGCACAGCACTCATACACATCTATCTGAAGAATCATTAGTGGCTAACAGTTTGCCCTGTCTCTTAAGCTGTACACGCCGTCTGCCCGCACACGTCAGTACTTTAGCGTGCACCTGAGAAGAGGAAGGGCAGCCGTACAGTTGCCGTGTTCAGAGGGCGTATCTCATTTTATGACATTATTTTAAGGTTTTATTGGCAGACTCTGAATGTTTCTCTAAGACATTTTTTGAAATGTCCAAAAACTACGGGACACATGCGTATGAGTTAAAAATTAAACATTGCATTTCCGGAAGCCTTGGCCATCTCTAGGCGCCCTCTTCCCTCCCTTCCTTGGTCTGATCCCCTTTTGTCTTTTTTTTCTCACCTGGCATTTCCTAGTCATGGTGAGATTGAGTTACTGGCAGGCCCCCTAGCATTACGACAACTGGTGACTTCGTCTGTGTCGACGGTGCGCGAGTGTGTGAGTGTGTGTGCCAGCCGGTGTTCTGATAGAACTGGGATGCTTAGGAGGAAGGGTGAAAACGAAGTTCTTTGTGCTGGGACATGCATGTATCTTACACAGCACACGTGGCGTGTATGTAAATCCTGTCCCTGGTTCTCCATGGGAGGAAATGAAGGAGGATGGAAAGATCCCGGCCCCAGCTGGAGCAGCTGAGAGCTTGCTCGTGAGCTTGGTTGGCTGTATTGTGTGGCCTTTTGGAAGCATTTAGGACGTTAGCCAGAGAGAAATGGTGTTGGGTTGGCTTTTAGGAAGTGGTTTCTTGCGTGTGTCTGTAAAGATGCAGACTCCTGGGCTCATTTTCAGGTTAGAGGTTTGTTTTGTTTTCAGTTTTATTTTATTCCGTGCGTATGAGTGCTTCGCCTGCATGTATGTGTGCGCACCACATGTATGTCCAGTGCCCACTGAGGTCAGAAGAGGTCATTGGATGCTCTGGAGTTTTGAGTTGTGAGCGACCATGTGATACTGAGAGTCAAGTCGTGGTCCTCTGCAGAGAGCCACGCGTGCCCTGAGCAGATCTCTCCAGACCCCACAGCTTAGTGTTTATAAGAAATTGAGTTCTAAACCCAGCAAGGAAGATAAAAAGGCACAAGTGGTTCAAAATAAGTTATTTAAGATGGGTGGGATTTGTACTTAAGATAAAATTAGGTACTTTGAACTTAGAAACAATGTTTTTTTTGTGTGTGTCTCATTCCAAAATTAATTTAAACCAATTAAACCAATACAACTTCAAGGTCTCTTTTACTTTCCAGTGCTGTTTTTAGCCCTTTACCAGAAATAAAAGACACAGATTGTCCTTACTCATAAGTATCTGAGCTTAACAAAACATTTTCAATCTGTGTTCACTACTCTTAGAGTTCTAGTCCTTGCATTTAGGACATTTGGGGTTGGGTGGGTTTTTGTTGTTGTTGTTGTTATGACTAATCATAGTTAATTTTGGTTTTGGAGTACTTTTCTTCTAGAATATGTGAGAAGAGACAAAATATAATTAGAAATTAAGTCAAATAAGTGTTTCTTTCAAGTGCCAAATCCATTTCTCTGTGAGTTCTCAGAGCCCATAGGAGCACTGTACTGAGACAGCATGTTGTGTCGAGAATGATTTCAGCCTTTAAACCAAAGGCCATAATGTTCTAGGCACTGATTTGGTTTAGATGCCAGCTTTTCCACTGCCTGGTGGAGTTAGTAAAGGTTTATGGCTCTGAATATTTGAAATTATTTTGGACTGGTAAATCTGGAATGCTCCATTCTAAACTGTAGTCATGTCAGGAGATTTCGGGGTGAGAAAGGGAACGTAGTTTGACGGGGCTGTTTCTTGGTGCCTGTGAGCAGTGTGTCATTCCACATTAAGAGAATGGCTGTGGGTGGAAGGTACATGCAGCGCACAGTTACATAAGAAATCTGTTCATTTGGAAGCAGTGGGGATGAAATAATTCCTCAAACTCTGTAGGCCAAGCTACCCTTGAACTCACAGAGATCTGCCCACCTCTGCTTCCCCCAGTGCTGGGATTAAAGGTGCCCGCTACCACTTGGCAATTCCTCAAACTTGTATCACTTTGCTATTTAGTATCACTTTAACCCTCTTTATTTTTTCCAAGTAAGCTTAATGTGTGGAATTCTTTCCAATAACCTCCTTGTAGTGATACTTCATTTCTATTTTAATAAAAAAAAAAAAAAGCTTGTCTGAAGATCAGACCGCAAAACAACCACACTAGTCAGCCATAGAGGCCAGGTGGTGATGGTGCAGGCCTTTAATCCTAGCACTAGAGAGGAATATAAGGCAGGATGAGACAGGAATTCCCTCTTTCAGTCTGAAGATTTCATAGGGGTGAGAGCTCTCTAGTGGCTTGACTACTGTGCTTTTCTGATCTTCAGGTTGAACCCCAATATATATCTCTGGGATGTTATTATCTGTGCTACACGGCATCTTTTCTTTTCTTTCTTTTTTTTTTTTTTTTTTTTTTG